TAAATTGTAACTTAAAAATAAATTTTTTTGTCCTTGGAAATTTTCTTACTTTCTTATGTGCATCCAGATCTCATGAGCACTGACATCTCAATGCATTAACACTGGAAACTTTGCCCCAGCCAGCTGGGTGGCTCAGGTGGTTGGAGCATCATCAACCAAAAAAGGTTGCAGGTTCAATTCCCAGTCTGGGCACATACCTAGGTTGCAGGCTAGATAACCCATTTGGGGTGAGTTATAGAGTAAACCAAATGATGTTTTTCTTTCACTTTGATGTTTCTTTCTCTCTTTCTTCCCTTCTTCTCTCTCTAAAATCAATAAACATATCCTTGGATAATGATTAAAAATAATAATAATAAAATTGGAAATTTTGGGGTCTAATTAGTTTTTATTGGTACATTTTTAATCGCCTTTTTAAATTTCTTCAATGGTTACTAATCTGTTCAGGTTTTCTGTCCTTTACGGAGTCAATATTGGTAAATTATACATTCCTGAGAAAGTACTTTACTTAGGCAAACAACAAATATTTGTTAAATCAATAATACAAGCACCTCTACAAGAGACCCACCTGAGAGCAAGAGATTCACAGAGGCTAAAAGATGGAATAAAATATTCCATGCAATGGGAAAAAAAAGCTGAAGTAGCAATACATATTTCTGACAAAATAGACTTCAAAAGACCATAACAAGGGACAAAGATGGTCACTACATAATATTAAAGGGATCAATGCAATAGGAGAATATAACCTTTATAAATATATATGTACCCAATATAGAAGTACCTAAATATATAAAAAATTCTCTTGGTGAACTTTAAGGTGGAGATCGACAGCAACACAATCATAGTGGAGGGCTTTAACAACACACTGTGAGAACTGGACAGACCACCAAGACAAAAAATAAACAGGGAAAAAGACTTTAAATGACACACTAGATCTAATGGACTTAATAGATATTTACTGAATATTTCATCCCAAAACAGCAGAATACACATTCTTCTCAAGTGCACATGGAACATTCTCAAAACTAGACTACATGTTAGGACACAAGGGGAGTCTCTACAAATTCAAGAAGATTGAAATCATATCAAGCATCTTCTCAGATCACAATGCCATGAAACTAGAATTCAACAACTATAAAAAAAAAATTCAAACACATGGAAGCTAAATAACATGTTATTAAACAATGAATGGGTTACAGGTATACCTCAAGAAACAAGAAAAAGCTCTACTAAACCACCTAACACAACAACTAAAAGAACTAGAACAAGAGCAGCAAGGAAAGCCCTAGAAAGTAGAAGGAAGGAAATTATAAAGATCAGAGCAAAAATGAATGACATAGAGACCAAAAAAAAATCAAAAAAAAAAAAAAAATCAATGAAACCAAGAGCCGGTTCTTTGAAAACATAAATAAGACTGATGCACCTTTAACCAGACTCACCAAGAAACAAATCGAGAGGACCCAAATAAATAAAATCAGAAATGAAAGAGGAGATATGACAACCAACCCAACAGAAACACAAAGGATCATAAGAAAATACTATGAGCAACTATATGTCAACAAACTGGACAACCTGGGTGAGATGGACAAATTCCTACATGCATACAGTCTTCCAAAGCTGAATCAGGAAGAGGCAGAAAACCTGAATAGGCAAATAACAACTAATGAAATTGAAGCAGTAATCAAAAAACTCCCAGCAAACAAAAGTCCTGGACCAGATGGATTTATGGGCAAGTTTTACCAAACATTCAAAGAAGAATTAACACCTATTCTCCTCAAATTATTCCAGAAAATTCAAGAGGAGGGAAAACTCAAACTCTTTTTATGAGCCCAGCATCATCCTAATCCCAAAACAAGATAAAGACACTACAAAGAAAGAAAATTACAGGCCAATATTCCTGATGAACATAGATGCTAAAATTCTCAACAAAACACTAGCAAACTGGATCCAGAAATACTTTAAAAAGATCATACACCATGACCAAGGGGGATTTATTCCAGGGATGCGAGGCTCATATTACATCCGCAAATCAATAAATGTGTTACATCACATAAACAAAATGAATGTCAAAAACCATATGATCATATCAATAGATGCAGAAAAAGCACTCGACAAAATCCAGCACCAATTTTTGATAAAAACTCTCAGCAAAGTGGGAATAGAGGGATCATACCTCAACATAATAAAGGCTATATATGACAAACCTACAGCCAGCATTATATTCAATGGGCAAAAACTAAACTTTAAAACAGAAACAAAACAAGGATTTCCACTTTCACCGCTCTTGTTCATCATCGAATTGGAAGTCCTTGCCACAGTCATCAGACAGGAAAAATATATAAAATGGATCCAAATTGGGAAAGAGGAAGTAAAACTGTCATTATTTGCAGATGACATAATATTGTACATAGGAAACCCTAAAGACTCCATCAAAGTACTACTAGATTTGACAAATGAATTCAGCAAGGTAGCTGGATACAAAATTAAGATCTGGAAATTGATGGCATCCTTAAACATCAACAATAAACTCTCAGAAAGAGAAACTGAAAAAAGAATACCATTTACCACTGCATCTAAAAAAATAAGATACCTAGGAATAAACCTAACCAAGGATGTAAAAGACCTGTACTCAGAAAACTACAGGCCACTGAAAAAAGAGATAGAAGACGATATCAACAAGTGGAAGAATATACCATGCTCATGGATTGGAAGAATTAATATAATTAAAATGTCCTTACTAGCCAAAGCAATTTATAGATTCAATGCAATTCTTATTAAAATACAATAGCATATTTCACAAAGCTAGAACAACTATTCCAAAATTTTATATTGAACCAAAAAAGACCCTGAATGGCTGCAGCCATCCTGAGAAAAAAGAACAGAATGGGAGGGATCACTTTACCAGGTATCAAACTACTACTAAGCAATTGTAATCAAAACAGCCTGGTATTGGTCTAACACCAGACAAATATATCAGTGGAACAGAACAGAGACCCCAGAAATAGACCCACACCATTATGGTATGTTAACATTTACCAAAGGAGTCAAAAGCATTCAATGGAGTAAGACAGTCTCTTCAATAAATGATCCTGGGAAAATTGGACAGGTACATGCAAAAGAATGAAACTAGACCACCAACTTTTACCATACACAAAAATAAACTCAAAATGGATAAAAGACTTAAATGTAACTCTCAAAACCATAAAAATCCTGGAAGAAAACATAGGCAGTAAAGTCACAGACATCTTACATTGTGAAATTTTAACTGATACATCTCCTAAGGGAAGAGGAAAAAAATTAAAAAATAAACATATAAGATTACATCAAACTAAAAACTTCTGCACAGCAAAATAAAACAACCTCAAAATACAAAGAACCCCACAGCTTGGAAGAACATATTTCCCAAGGATGTACCTGATAAAGGGCTAATTTCCAAAGTGTACAAAGAACTCATACTACTCAGCAAGAGAAAGACAAACAATCTAATTTAAAAATGGGCAAAGGACCTGAATAGACACTTCTCCAAAAAGGACATACAGATGGCCAAGAGACACATGAGAAAATGAGCAACATCGCTAATCATCAGAGAGATGCAAATTAAAACCACAATGAGGTATCATGTCACACCTGTTAGAATGGCTGCCATCAACAAATCAACAAATGACATGTGCTGGTGAGGATATGGAGAAAGGGGAACCCTAGTACACTGCTGGTGGGAATGCAGACTGCTGCAGCCACTACGGAAAACAGTACGGAGGTTCCTCAAAAAATTAAAAATGGAACTGATTTTGACCCAGTGATCCCACTTCTAGGAATATATCCTAAGAATCCTGAAACACTAATCATAAAGAATATATGCACCCCTATGTTCATAGCAGCCCAATTTACAATATCTAAGATGTGGAAACAGCCCAAGTGCCCATCAGAAGATGAGTGGACCAAAAAGCATGAAACAGTTACACCATAGAATACGATGCAGCTGTAAAGAAGAAGGATCTCATACCATTTGGGACAGTATGGAGGGACCTGGAAAATATTATGCTAAGCCAAGCAGAGAAAGACAAACATCAGATGATCTCACCGATATGTAGAATCTGAAGAACTTAATAAACTGATAAACAGAAATGATTCAATGACACAGAAGCATGGATCAGACTGATGAATCTCAGAGGGGTGGAGGGGGGATGCATGGGTGGAGGGGTTGAGATTAACCAAAGAATTTATATGCATATATGCATAACCCAAAGACACAGACAATGTTGTGGGGAATGACTGGGGAGGGGGTGGGGGGTGGAATGGGTCAATGAGGAGAAAAATTTTTTGTCTTCTGTAATATTTTGAACACAATAATAATAATAGTAAAATAATAATACAAGCACTGATGATCAGTACTGCAGTAAAAATAGTTTTACACCATCTAAGGGAAATAGTAGATAAGCCTGAGTAGACTGAAAGTGTGTGCAGTTTAAGAACCCTAGTCCTGAGATTAGGCAATGAGTCTCACACTGGCCATTGAGCCCAGAGTAAAAGAAGTTTTTCTGTATATTTCTGCTCTATTCCTGGTCTCTAAAAAGTTAGAATAAACTAAGTAATTTCCCTGCACAGTGTGCCTGAGACTGAAGAATCTCTTCTTCTTCTTTTTTTTTTTTTTTTTTAAGAATGCACTTTACATCTGTAGTGATTCATAGACAGGATTTATACAACTGTATAGATGTTGCCAGCTACACCTCAACAATCTGTATCTCACATTAGATTTAAGTAATAACTTTACACTGTTAGAAGACAGGCTGAATTCAGACAACATTTTTATGCCTGAAGAGCCAGAAAGAGAAATTTAAAGAATTGAGTGTATGTTTTGATGTGTAGTGTGTGATGCAAGGTGTGTGTGTGAGTGTGTGTGTGTGTGTGTGTTTACAGTAAAACTGTCATCTCAGCCTGTAATAAAGAAAATTTTAAATGCTTAACAGTGAATTTTGGTTAAAAGAGTTTCAGAATTTACTTACCAGTTTAGTAACATTTGAATTTCAACTGGGATCACATCATAATAATCAGACAGATTATTTTTCAAAAAGAACAAAGAAGTAAGTTGAGTAAGACGCTGTGGACTATTCAAAGAATTCTCTTTCCAAAGAATAGGATGAGTGTAGTTATTTTCAAATAGGATTTTTTTTAGGTTAAGCTTCAAAATTCCAGATGGAAAAGATGTCAGGTCATTCCCGTCAACAACCAATTTTTTAAGTGATCTGCAAATAAAGAAAACCATGCTTTAAAAGGCATTTATGCAATTTATAATACTGAAGCAAAATTCTGTTCCAATGTTCCTGAAAATTACTACAAAACTTAGTAAAGATAAAAGACAAGTGTTTAAGTACTTACTTAGAATAAAGAAAATTAACTTAAAAAGCAACTGAACCAATATATTATTTTGGAAAAATAATAATAATAATAAGCATTTGTGTGAGTAGTAGAATTAAGCTTGTATTTTCGGCCTTTGCAACATATCATTACTATACAAAAAGAAATAATAATCACAAACATAGCAGAAAAACCTCCTCCTGCTACACCACTAACACTCTCAGTGCTCTGGATGGTACTCAGACTACTATTAGACCTGAGCCAAAGACAGAGCAGCCAGAAGAGAAAAACAAACAAGACATATAAAACCATTTTCCTAAGGCAAACACTGGGAATCTTAGCAGTCCAACCTAATACATAGAAACAACCCAAAAGGGGCAGCCAAAATTGGGAGTCCAAAAATGTCCCAAATGAAAGAACAAGAGAATGGTCCAGAAGAAGAGCTAAATGAATTGGAGATAAGCAGTCTAGCAGATATAGAGTTCAGAATACTGATTTTAAGGATATTCAACAGCATGAAAAAGATATGGAAACTATAAAGGAAATTAAGAATGACATAGTAGAAATAAAAAATACATTGGGAGAAATAAGCAGCAGAATAGGGGAAGCTGAGGACTGGATCAGAAAATTAGATGACAAGGAAGAAAAAATCACTCAATCAGAGAACCTAAAAGAAAAAACAATTAAAAACCAGGAGGACAGTTTTAAGGGAACTGTGGGACAACATGAAACCTAAAAATTTGCATCATAGGAGTATCAGAAGGGGAAGAAAGTGAGCAAGGGATTAAAAAACTTGTTTGAAGAAATTATAGCAGAAATCTTTCCTAACTTGGTAATAAATTAAAAAATCACACAAGTTTGGGAGGCACAGAGAGTCCCAAGAAAGAAGAACCCAAAGAGGCCCACACTCAGACACATCATAATTATAATGACAAAAATTCAAGGCAAAAAGAGAATCTTAAAGGCAGCAAGAGAAAAGCAATCTGTTACCCATGAAGGAACTCCCATAAGGCTGTTAGCTGAATTCTCAGCAGACACTCTACAGGCCAGAAGGGAATGGCATGAAGTGTTCAAGATAGTAAAAAGCATGGATCTGAAACCAAGACTACTCTGTCCAGCAGGGCTATTATTATTCAAAATAGATTGCTGATTACAAGAGTTCAGTGAATTCCAAGAAAAACAGGCATGATATCATGATTTATAGGAAACATAGATTTGTCCACTCAGATGACCAAAATATATTTCTCATACATATTTGTCCTTAACCCACAGTTTCTGTATCACAGCTCCCCAAACTCTTGGAATTTTTAGAGCCATAGGAGCAACAAGAACATCTGTTATATTTGGTCTCCTCCCCAGTTCCTGAAATTGCTTCAGAACCGTAAAAATGAAATGGGTGCCTTGTTATTCATAACAAGTCCCTTTTTACCACAACTAGTTTTATGTTAATGAGGTGACTGTTGGAAAGCACCTGAGGATGGACTGGTTGCCAGCACAACCAACCATGACTAGAGGGGTCAAACTATTGGTCCCACTCCCTGATTTCTGGGGAGCAGAGAAGAGCTGGAGGTTGAATCAATCACTGATGCCCAATACTTTAATCAATTTTGCCTATGTAATAGAGCCTCCATAAAAACCATAAAGGAAGGGTTTCAGAGAGCTTCCAGATGTGGGAACCAGAACACTTCAATGTGCCACTGTGTTGAGCCCCAAACTCCACAAAGACAGAAGCTACTTTGTTCAGGATCTCACCCTATGTATCTCTTCATCTGGCTATTGATTTGTATTTTTTAATATATATCCTTTGTGATAAATTGGTAATCTAGAGAGTAAATAGGTTTCTTGAGTTCTGTGAGCTGCTCTAGCAAATTAATTATAGCAGAAGAGGGATTGTGGGAACCTCTGGTTTACAAGGCAGGCAGAAGTACAGGCAATAACCTGGGCTTGCTATTGGCATCTGAAGTGGGAGGCAGTCTTGTGGGACCCAGCCCTTCACCTGTGGGATCTAATGCTATCTTGAATTAGATAGTGTCAGAATTGAATTGAATTGTAGTACACCCAGCTGATGTCCAAGAATTGCTTGTTGATGTGCCTCCCTACCAGAGTGGAATTGGGTGCAGAACACTTTTAAAAAGGTTATAACAAAAGACATACTGTTAGGCATAATCTGACCAAATTTCTGAAGATCAAGGATAATGAGAAAATCATAGTCTTTCCAGATAAAAATAAGAACCACTTAAAGAGAAAAAGAAATTAAACTGGCAACAGGTACCTTACCTGCAACTTTGGAAGCCAGAGGAGGATATGAGGGTGGAGACTGCTTGTGAAAAGGGCTATAACGTGAGATTGCCCACCCGCGGGAGACATTGTTTTATTTCTTAAGCTTGTGAGATCTAAGTGCTAATAATATTCTTTAAGTAAAGAGACAGAATGAAAGGAAAAATACTAATGAGAATCTGAAATAAAAGTTCCTAAATTGCCTCAGCAAAGCCTATAATTAGATAAGGGGTGAATTCATTGGGAAAGAATGCAGGAAAGCAGGAAGATGAAAGTATTCTAAAGGTCTCAGCTATCGGGAGAACGCAGCAGTGAGGAGACAGACCATGATGGTGGGGGGGTGAGTTTGTGGAAAGGGATGATAGCTAATAAGAGACTGAGAAAGTACAGTAGAGTAGAGTTCCAAAATTAACAAGGAAGAAAAAAGGAAAAAAAATCTTGAAAAAAAATATTAAAGATAAATAGGAAAAGGAGAAAGTAAATAGTAAAAACAAAGTAAAATGGAAGGCAAAAAAATAAATATATCAGTCATTATAAATGTGAACAGCTTCAATTCCCCTAATAAAATACAAAGAAATTAAATAATTGGTATAAATATTAGAAAAGTAGAGACAAAAGTATCTAATTTTGTTGAAGATAAGTTTATGCTTCTTGAAAACCAAAGAAAATCTAGTAAAACTCAACCAAAACTAATAAGATTATTTGGTTACATAATTGATTTAAAATTAATGTAAAGAAGTACATAGCTTTTCCCTATTCTGTACTGGCAATAGTCAGTTAGAAATAAAAATTAGAGAAAATATTACATTCCCAGTAGCAACACAATTATAAAATACTTAGAAAGGTTAGTAAGAAGATAAAAGACTATGTGAAGTGAGTCACAAATTCTTATGAAGAATGTAAAACTTGAACAAATAAAAAAATATATACTATGTTTTAGGGCAAAAAGATTTATTATCATCAGAAATGTGAATTCTTAAAAATTTATATGTAAACTCAAGGCAATTCCAATTAAAATCCTAATGTTGTGTTTATGGGTTTGGGGGTGAGGAGAGGTGTGGAATTATATCAAATATCTCAAAGATCATGATCTAAAGAGAATGGTTGAGAGACTATTATGGAAATCTAATCTCCCTAATAGTTATTAAAAATTATTCTAAAGTCATAATCAAAATAGTTCAGTACTGACCTAGAAGGACATAGATAAACTTCAGAGACTTTTTAAAAATTAATGTGAGAGCCCGGCCGGGCGTGGCTCAGCGGTTGAGCCTTGACCTGGGATCCAGGTGATCGAGGTTTGATTTCCAGTCAGGGCACATGCCCGGGTTGTGGGCTCCATCCCCAGTCGGGGACCTGCAGGAGGCAGCCAATCAATGACTCTCTCATCACTGATGTTTCTCTCTCTCTCCTTCTCCTTTCCTCTCTCTGAAATCAATAAAGATATATTTTAAAAAAATAATAATGTGAGAATCAGAGCTTAGTATTAAAATTACATTGTGTATGATTAACATTTTATCTATATCTATCTCCTTACAAAAAGTAAAATAAAACTGATAAGAACAATAGGGGCACACATGAAAAAATGGACAAAAGTAGCTTTTCATTCTACTAAGTGGTCATCAGTATTGTTCTTTAAATAATTACTGAAAATGTTATGTCCTAAAAATACTGTACACTAATCATTCAAATTACATTTTGGTAAACTTTATGTTTCACATATGTTTGATGGTTATTAAACAAATGAAGGAACTGAATTTTCTCCATCATCACCAAATATACATTTCAGAGGGATATGATTTTGTGTGTACTTACTACTCCCAAAATACCTGAGTTTCTGGATTTCATTTGGAATAGAAGCAATACTATTGTAGGAAATATCAAGTTCCTCAAGGTGGAGCAAAGAAAATAACCTTAAGTACAAAGAGAAAATAAATTGTAAAAATGATTACCTATTTGTCATGACTAAGCTTAAAAAATACATGTGTAAATAGGTAGACATAGAGGGAAACTAATATTTTTCTAAGATCTTGAAATTTATATAGACTTTTCTACATTATAGATGGTATAATTAAAGTAAGATTTCCTAAAAATTATTCATCTGTCTATTAAGACTGGCTTGAAATGTTTGGTATAGGTAAAGTCCCATCTAGAAAAAGTCACCTGAGAAATTCCTAACAATATTTAGATATATATATATTTTTAGTTGCTGCATTTATTTACTAGGGCTGAAATCACAAATTACCACAATTTGGGTGGTTTAAAACAATAGAAATTTATTCTCTCACAGTTCATGAGGTCAGAAGTTAGAAATCAAGTTGTTAGAATGCTTGGTTCATTCTGGAGGCTCTGCAGAAAAAAACTGTCCCTTGTGTCTCCTCACTTCTGGTGGCTGCTAGCAATCATTGGTATTCCTTGGTTTGTGACAGCATAACTCCAATCACTGCCTTTTTCTGCATATTTTCTTCTTGTAATGACACAATTTATTTGATTTTGAGCCCACCCTAATCCAGTAACCTCATATTAACTTATCTAATTGCATCTGCAAAGATCCCTATTTCCTTATAAGATCACATTCTGAGGTTCTGCACTGACATGAATTTTTTTTTTTAATATATCTTTATTGATTTCAGAGAGAGGAAAGGAGAGAGAGATAGAGAGATAGAGATAGAGATAGATAGATAGATAGAT